GCTACAATCTCTGCACCCTCCGTGAGCTCACTCACGTGTTGTTATTTTACATCATGTGTAAATATTTAAAGCACATGTAAACTTTTCAGAATGAGAAATTACGCACTGATTTTCCTTCCTAGCGTTAGACACAGTGACTATTGATTCAGGTTCGCTATGCTGTCTTGAAATCGGCAGCTCATGAAGGCAATGTGAAATAAACAGAATAGAAACTAATGCTCCCATGCACCTCTGGCCTGCTTCACGACCCCTCTACACAGTAAAATACATAGTCACTGCACTTTATGGTAAATCCTGTGAAGCACCTTTGAGACATCCTCCTGAAAGGCGCTATAACAATAACAATGATGATAATAATAATAATCTTTGCATTTGGTATGGCGCCTAATCATGTTGTTGAGACGTCTCAAAGCAGTTCACAAAATAAACTGTAAAGTGAACTGACTGGATATTTTGTGGGTGAAATGCCATTCCCAATTGTGCACAGCAGTGACCCACAAACATACAGAAAATATTCACAGAAGGAAACTGTTAAAAATTTAGTCATGTTGGGGAATCAGTTTAGATCACAATTGTGGAGTAAATCTTCAAAACTATTCATGAGTAATGGTCAGATATATTGTAAAGTGTAGTGATTTTGTAATGTTTGTAGGTGAACGGGGCAACAAATTTGCTCACAGCAAAAACCCACAAACCATCCTGAAGTGAATGAACCATTTTAATTGGGGGGGATTGTGGGTCCAGGACATCAGGAAAAACGCCCTTCTGTTTTTTGAATAGTACCTGGGATCTTTAATGTTCACCTGAGCAGGCAGACAGGACCTCAGTTTAACAACTCATTCGAAGGACAGTACCTGCAGAAATGCAGCACTCCCCCAGCACCGCATTGAACTTTCAACCTTGACTATATGAGTTCAAAGTCCAGATGTGAGGCTTCAACCTTTTGATTCCGATGTGAGAGTGCTTCCAATTAAGCCAGACTGACACAACTACCAGAATTTATGGAATTGTTTTGCTTACACATAGGAGTTCTATAACTTGCTCGTGAAAGAACAATCATATTAGGGTACACAATTTAAATAAATCTGACGACATAGTTTAACTAGTTTCTCAATGCTGCATCTAACAGTTCTTCTGTAGTGTTATTTGGAGGATGAAAACCCTCTTTAAAAGCATTGTGATCCAGATTTGGACTGAAAAAATTATTTAATCCATACAGAATGTTGAAACAAAAATCCAGTTGTCACGCACTGTTTAGTTTGAAATATGTTTTTTTGCCTTTTTTATCATTCATGTGGGATTCTGCTTCATATTGTGGAGGTAAGGGTTTATATCAGCATGTGTACACATTAACAGCCACCTTGCCCCAGGATTGTACTGGGTCTAATTGGCAAATCATTGGGTTTGAAATTGGAACTCAATGGTTTGCCATTGCATTGCTGTTGTATCTTTCGCCCACAAAATACACAGTCACTACACTTTACACTGTATCCTGCGAAGCACTTTGAGACATCTCGACGACGTGATAAGGTGCTATACCAAATGCAAGGAGTATTATTATTATCTTTGCTAGGAGGGATGGCATAACTGGAAATGGGGCTCACACCCACTTCAATGATGGATTTACAATATAAACTTCAAGTTGCATTGTACAGCACAACTGATTCATGTTTTGCAAACTTGGTTTAAGGAGGAGTAGAAGGGGGAAGAAATTCCCCACTGGGAATTCCACTTAATAGCCTGTTTTATGTGAGGTGCTGTGCCCTTGATATTAAAAAAATCTAGTCATCAAAGTATCTGCTTGCAGCCTGCAGGAGCTAATTGAATAATGAGGGAGTAATTACACAGGGCAGACAGAACTCATTTGTAGTTCAGTCGAGACATAAAGATTGTGGTGAAGGAGACATTCTTTCGAGACTCAAAAGAGGTTGATATTCTAGGCTGTTGGAACTGTTTATGTGTACGGAATCTGAAATATCTTCTTAATCTTCAAAGAACCCATTGAAGTCCAGGTGAGGATTCTTCGCTCTTCAACATTTTTACCAACTTGCTGAGTGAATGTCTTGTGTGTGGAATTTGGATTTTATACTCATTAGAGGTATGCGGATCTCAATTACTGACTTGGGAAGAATAATATCCACTTGATCAGCAGAACCAGTGCATTTATTTTCTTTGTCCTCCTCCCTGGCACCAGCCCTACCTCACCCTGTGCCCATGTACTTTGCCAAACTTTGCCACAGGCGATTTGAGTGGGGAAACATCACAGCCTCACAAACACCTACAGCCCAAAACCTCATGACTCAGGGGGAAAGAGTGCTGCTGACTGAGCGATGTGGAACATGGAACAGAATTAAACAAAAGGAGATTCCCAAGATTAGTGCATGGGAAATTGTAGTACAAGGCAAACTTTGATAAAGAATGTAGCACACAGAGAAATAATTTCTTCTTAATTTTACAGTATTCTTTATTATATTGTAAATGTGATTGCCACTAGTGTAATTGAATTGTTATGAAGACATGGAATAGTGGCTGAGATCGAGTACAACAGTGTGATTATATGGTTTACACGTAAAGCTGACAATGTATTGCTTCTGCCCTCTGGGACGATCCATAATTAAACAAAATACAATATAAAGATAATTACAAAGAAAAGAGACATGTAGCATTATTAGACAAGGGGAAGAGAACATTGAATGGAATACAAAACTAGTTTGTCTCTGTGGGCATCTCAGCAGTTTTTTTAAAAAAATTCTCACTTGCGCTGGTTAGGACAAGTATAGGATTCAGGAGAACTGTCTCATCTGTCCTTCTGTACCTCCATTCATCCCCTCACCATCCAAACACATGTACACAATTGTTAGCCCCACCCCAACTCCAATAAGAACATAAGAATTTCCCAGGTGAAAGAAGATCAAGGTCCATCCAGTTCTCCTTCCACCATCCTGGCAGTCACATGCACATGTTGTGTCCCAAACTGTATACTGTATCCCCAGATGTTATTTCCTGACAGAAAGCTATCTAATTTGTTCTTGAAAGAATTAACACTTTCGGGCTGCTCCATCTCCCTTAATTAGAAGGTAGATGTCAACTTGCTGGTATTTCGAAAAACACAAAAGCATTTCCTTCCATCCCATGGAAATTCCCCCTCAAACCCAAATCCAAATACTGCAAATTAAATATGCTGATTTATTATAAACTGTGACAGGCATTGCTCAAAACAATGTAATTTTGTATCCTGAATTGATGGATTAATTTTTCCCAGTCAAATATTAATTAGTATGAAGAAAATCTTAAATTTGATCTGCAAGCAAAACCAACCCTGGGCAATCCATAATAAACCTTCCCCAACTACAGCAGCAAAGAAGTGTAACAACAACATCTCACTACGCACACAAAACTAAAATCCATGTAATATACTTTCATCTTTCAATTATTAATAAACTCCCACTTGGTTATTTTAAATTTATTTTTGTGTATTAGGTGGCATAACAACAGGACGTGCTCAGAAAGAGCTGTAACAAGGATATAATAATCCTTCCATTTGATATAGCTCCTTATCACGTCTTCTCGACGTCTCAAAGCACTTCACAGAATATACTGTAAAGTGTAGCAACTGTCTATTTTGTGGGCGAAACGGGGCAGCCAATTGCGCTCAGCAGCGCCCCACAAACAGTCGTGCAATGAGTGACCAAATTATTATTATTATTTATTTTGTACAACTGGAAAAGTGATCCGCCAATTGACTAACAATCGGCATTCAAACATTAGAAGACATATAAAGTAATTACTCAGATAGGTAGGCGGTTTATTAATTAGAAGGTAGTCATTTTATTACCCCCGGAAAGGGATCCGCTGTATCAAATGCAAGGATTACTATTATTATTGTTAGTTAGGAATGAAATAGCGGCACTCGCTTGTGTTTCTGTGGATGCAAAGCACAACCATTGGAAGGGAGAAAAGCACTTGGGGTAAAAAAAAGGGATTGTCGTTTCTCACCAACGTCTGAGCAGCACCGAACAAAACTCTCTTCGCGATTCCAATTGAATGCAGTCACCTCCGTGCACCGAGAGTGAGAGAGAGAAGGCATCTCAATTGTTATTTCTTCACCATAAGTCCAAGTAAACTACTGTACAATATTGGTTGAATGATCGATTAATTGATCCTATTATTTCTAATTACTGTGGTGAATCTTTGCATCTCAGTTGCGGAACAGCGATGGGACCAGGAAAAGAGGATTGGGCTGGGGAGGGGGGGGGGGGGGAGATGACGGATGGATGGTGGGAAAATGGATTAGGGAGGGAGGGGGGGAAGTTGGGGATGGAGGGGGGATGGACGGGGGTGGGGGGGGGTTGGGGAGGGGCGGAGTTGGGGAGGGGGGAGTTGGGGAGGGGGGTGGATAGAGGTGGGGGGAGGGAGGGGGGAGTTGTGGAGGGGGGGATAGAGGTGGGGGGAGGGAGGGGGGAGTTGGGGAGGGGGGATGGAGGTGAGGGGAGGGAGGGGGGAGTTGCGGAGGGGGGATGGAGGTGAGGGGGAGGGAGGGGGGAGTTGCGGAGGGGGGATGGAGGTGAGGGGGAGGGAGGGGGGAGTTGGGGAGGGGGGATGGAGGTGAGGGGGAGGGAGGGGGGAGTTGGGGAGGGGGGATGGAGGTGAGGGGGAGGGAGGGGGGAGTTGGGGGGAGGGATGAGGGGGTGTTGATGATGTCAGGAACCTCACGCCTCACAGAGTCGCTGATTGGTGGAACTGAAAGTGGGACCGAGGCTCTGATTGGCTGAAAGTCCTGTCAGCGCGAGGCCCCGCCCCCCGCCCCGGGAGGAGCTGCAGATCAGCCGCGAACACCGCACCGCACCGCACGGGGCTCCGCACCGGCACCGCACCGGGGCTGTTTGTTCCGCTAATAATCACAGTAATAATCAGGGATTTTTGTAACCAGAGATAATATATAAATATATTTATTATTTTTAAATCTGCAAATGATTTTTCTTTGAACAAAACAGCGGAAGATGGTGCAGCAGCTGAAGAGCGCGGAGGGCACCCGGTGCAGCGCCAGAGAGGCTGCGGACAGCGGCATCAGTGACATGAGCGCAGCTTCCAGCCCCAACCCATCGTCCGCCTCCCCCTCGGCCAGAGCGGAGGAGGACACGGGAGCGAACCCCGACTGGTGCAAGACCCCGACCGGTCACATCAAGAGGCCGATGAACGCTTTCATGGTTTGGTCTCAGATCGAGAGGAAGAAGATCATGGAGCAAGTGCCGGACATGCACAACGCCGAGATCTCCAAGCGCCTCGGCAAGAAGTGGAAAATGCTGAAGGAGACCGAGAAGACGCCGTTCATCAGAGAAGCGGAGCGTCTGCGGCTCAAACACATGGCGGATTATCCCGACTACAAGTACAGACCCAGGAAAAAACTCCGCTCCGACTCGGGAGCCGAGGAGAAAAGCTGCAAGAAGGACAGCAAAATGGTCTTCAAGAAGCATTGCTCCCGGGCGCTAAAGGGCAAAGACAGAGCGAAGGGCAAGAAAGCCAATAAGCTGCCGGTGAGGAACGCGCAAAGGGCGGAGAATGGCTCCGACACCGACCCCGACCCCGGTACCGACCCCGGCACCGCGGATCCCAACCATAGCGACGGCTCGTGTGACGTCCTGGGCTTTGGGGAGAAGGAAAGAGATGGTGATGGTGATGATGGAGGAGAGGGAGGTGATGGGGACGCCGCCGGCTCGACCTCACCACCTGAGCCCAAGGCGAACGCCCATGTGGCGGCTCCAGCCGGGAGCGGGGGTCGCTCGGCCCCGGGGAGACCCTCAGAACAAGCCGACCTCCTGCTGTTTGACTTGAGTTTGAACGTGGCGGCCGGTGGCGGGGACCTGCTGGACCTGAGCGGGGGCAGTCTGTCCCTGGACAAGGAGGCGGATAGTGCGGGGGGTGGGGGCTGCCACTCCGGCTCCCACTTCGAATTCCCCGATTACTGCACTCCCGAGGTGCGCAAAATGATCTCGGGAGACTGGCTGGAGATCGAGGCGAACATCTCCAATTAGGTTCCTTGTTCTCCTCACCCTCTGAATGGATCATCGGATTGTGTCTCCCCCTCCCCCACTGCCCCCTCCACGTCGCCCCCCCCACACCCTTCTCTTCCCTTCTTTTTGTTTATTTTTGCTAATGTTGTTCTGAAATATTAAGGCTCTGGGTTGAGTTTTTAAAAAATTGGCATTATTTTATATACAGGTATATATGAGAAAGATAATTTTGGTGTGGGTGGGTGGGTGGGGAAGGGGGGGAGAAGGGGGGGGTTATGGGTGGGGAAGGTGATGATGGGAAAAGGGGAAAATGAGAAAGAGAGAGAACAAGGGGGTGAAATGTGTTTCAGGCAAAATGTGAATACAAATTCATGTCATCTCTTTGATTTGTCTCCCAATATCGATCGATTTTTCTCTCTCCCCCCCACCCCCCCACCCCTTTGACAAATGGAGTTGATCTTATCAGGGTACCAGATAAACAAAAAAAATCAACGATTGTTGCAGAATCTTCAATGAGCACAAATTAAGAGATGTGTGTGTGTAGCTTGGTTTGGGGGCGGGAGAAAGTGGGGGAAATAGTTTCAATGCAGTCAAAGAGATAAGGGGGCAAAATTAATTAGTTTAATGTGTCTGTGATGATTTTTTGGGGGAGGGGAAATTAAGGTTAAGAAATGGACATCGAATGGCGAAATTGATGGACCAGGAATTGTTATTGTTGCCGAGAAAAAATAACATTAGGATTAACAAGTTGACGGATGTTAAAGAGTCTCATGTTGGTTGGTGTGTTGGTTACAGTGAAATATGAACCAGACAAGTACGCTAAAGGTTATTGTAATTACACTTTCATGTTGGTGATTTCAATCCACAATCAGTTTTGCCCTGTTTTACTCCTGTTCAGATCAAATCTGAATTTAGGGTGGCATTTGACTTGACTTTTTTATCCCGCAAATATAGTGTTGGGGCCTTTTTATCCCATTTATTGGGAACTAATAACGTTTTGATTTGACCGCAGATTTCCTGATTTGTTTGTGTGTGTGTGTATGAGACAGAAATGATCACAACATGAAAAACGACTTAAAAATGTGCATTGTGAATCTATGGGTTTTCACAAGGGTTAAAAGGGATCCCAGAAATTGCTATATATATTAAAAAGAATCAAAAATTGACTGACATTAAGACGCTTGGGGATATTGAGAATAAATATCTCAATATGGGTAAATAGCTGATGTGGAAAAAAAATTAAGGAAGGTGGAAATGGATTTTTAATGTGCCAATTTATTACAGTATATTTAGTATTTTGACAGGGAAAAAATACAGATTATTATTAAATGTTATGGTGTATTGGTACATTAATACATCCTGGCGTTCTTAGCTAGAGAAAAAAATAAGTTAATTGATTGTTGGTAGGTGGACACACAAACCTTAGCTCTCTGTATATCTATTAGTGTTGAGATGGATACTGTTATTAAGTAAGGATCGTGTGTGTTTGTAGAGATAAAAAAGAAAAAAAACTGTGAATGCTGGAAATCTGAAATTAGGAGCAGAAAAAAGCTGGTAATAGTTTTCAGGTCAATCAACATCTGAAAGTGTAAGCTGGTGTGATTCTTCTCTTGAAGGTTAGGGTGACCATATTTTGTAAACCTTATCCAGGGATGCATTCATACATACACATGCACACACACACATATGTATATTACTGTTGGTAGGTGGGTACACTGTTGCTGAACTCAACACAGGGCCATATTTGGCTCCAGGGGCACACATCCGGGCCTGTCCTCAGGAATTGGGGATGTATGGCTACCCCTATTAAAGGAAAATTTATATAATTATAAAGTTGAGGTACAGATCAGTCATGATCTAATAGATTGGCAGAACAATAACATTTATATATAGTGCGCTTCATGTGGGGTAGCGTCGCGGAGCACTCAAGGGGCTGAATGGCCTGCTCCTGTTCCTGTTTTCCTATATATAATTGAGGGGGGATCAGCCCCCAAATAAGACCCTGTCTTTCTCTCTCAGATACTGGTTGACCTGTTGGGCATGTTCAGCGTTTTCTGTTGTTATTTCATATGCACTGTAGTCTGGTAGTCGATCTCCAATGAGATCTTAATCATTGTCCAAACCTTACTGTGAATTTCCCCATCATTGTTCTCAGCTCCTTACTGCTCAGGGTTGAAGAATGCACACTACCTGCCAGACTGTGTTCCTCTGAGTGGAAGGAACACTGCTGGAACTCTCTAGCATTCCTTCATTTGTTCCCATTATCAAGCCTACCTTAATCGTCAAGCATTTGTATTAGATTCTTCATTATAAGGGTTTACAGGGAGGTTTTAACGAAGAAAAATATAAATTTCCTCTGATATGCACAGTACAAAATGAATCCAAGACAATGTTGTGATGTTGTGAGAATACGTATTACTTAGCACTTAATTACTAACCACTCTATACATGGAAACATACTTATGCAGATTTTTATCATTGTCAATCGGAAAAGGGAGGAACATATTTTTTTTCGCCCATGATATGTAATCATTGCAGTACAATTTAATGACCCATTTGGAGGAAACAGCCTTTATACCAGTGGCCTACATAGGGAGGATTTTATAAAAGATCGAAGTTTAAAGTGCACATACTCTGCCTTGCCATAAATCATGTAAAATATGGAATCACAAGTGGGGGGGAATTGGGCCTCACATATCTTCAGGAAAACATTAACGGCTTTTTTTTTGCTGCAAAATAATTTAAAGGAAGGGATAGTTAATAGCTTTGAATGGTTTTTGTTATTTTTTGATTGGAAAAATAGTCCAGGGACAAAATACAAATATAAGCTGTGTAGTGGTGCCTCAATCTCGATCTGTTTAATATCTATTGTCATTAGTGCCATCTGATTCATCACGAGAGCATGCTCAGCAGCACATTGTACTGTCCAACTTCCTTCCTTGAGACAATTGAATGATATAGAGAGGCTCAGTGTCATATTGTTGTACAGTGGAATCTTTAGACATAGACTGAGAGAGTGTCTGTCAGCATTAGATCAAGCTCAAATCATTACAGCAGACTGACTTGTACAGAGGTAAATTCACAGATTTTTTTCTAGATTTCTGAGTTTAGGACTGTGTCTGGAGACTTGTTTTAAATAATATTTTTAACTTCTGAGCGCTTTTTATTTTGAAAAGATATTGCTTTCAGGACAATAATTAAATTATTCCAATGCTTGCGGGTTCAATATTTCCAGGTTTATCTATGTATTGTTGCAGGCTACTGTATGGATGGACAGACAGACAGACATGAAGCAATATCACATTTTAACTTTGATTTGGCAATAATCTGAATTCAAGGTCATGATTCTTGTTTTCACAGATTGCTAAAATAATCATCCAGATACACGCAGACATGTATTTGGATGATTAACAGTGAAATAAGGTTTATTCTTCACTATTTTTCAATTCAGGTTGACTTAGGTGAAAAAAAGCCATCAAATTTTACCTCTACAGCAATGAAAAAGATTCCACTGTACTGCACTCTATATTAAGGACTCTATCCAAAGACCAGTTCATAATTTCTCATAAAACCAGCCTAAAATGGAACCACATTCTTTCTGGTTTCAGGAACAAAGCCTTTATATTGTGAATTTTCAGATTTTGTGATTCTTTTTAAAAAAATCCCAAATTATTCCAAAACCAGCAATTTATTTTATTGCTAACTGGTTGGTTCAATGTGGATTTTAATTTTTTTTTGCAGAGTGCACTTCTTTTGATTGCTTGCATGTGTATAATTTCACATATATATACATATATATATATAGAGAGAGAGAGATGGTCACACATGCGTATATACCTATGTACCTTGGTGTGGTTGTGAATTACATTCAAAACTTGATAGTCTAGACATAATTTGAAAGAAAATTATGGTGGATTTAAAACAACAGTATCACTTTAACTAGCCTACATGCATGCCATGGTTAAAATTATTCAAATGCACGGGGGAATTCGGTAGCTTTGAAGATTAAGAGGTCAGTTTCGATGCCCTTTTACCTTCTGCAGGTGAATTAAGATGATTCCAATCTAGGAAAAAGCATCAAGGAAAAACTCCTCTCACCACCGCTGGTGACAAAAGATTTGTATGAATTCAGCTCTGTGTCTCGATGCCAGAAGTGGAGTTGAGTTTTGAACACAAAAGGACCCTATTTTTTGAAACTTTTGCCGCTCTTCCATTCCCCTCTTTTCTTCTGCAGATTTTGGTGATCGTTGGGACATTAAACTGTGGTAAACAATGCTGTGAGTCTTGAGTCGCCAGGATGTAAGGTGAATGTTGGGCGAAAAAACCTCTGCAGTGATTTTCTGCAGATATTTGGATGTCAATTCTGTGCTGAAGACGACGTGTTAGTTTTCAGATGCTTTTCAGTCAAAATCCTGTTGGAGGAAAATGGAATCTATAGAAAAAATATTATCTTTTTAAAAAAATCTGAAGGAAACTGATATTGACGTTCTGACTTGTCACTGTTAAAAGTCGCCTTTTGATTTTCCTGTAAACCTTACTCTACCACACTTGCTTGTGGTGCATACAGAATTATTCAATTGCCTACAATTTGGCCAAATGCTGTTGCAATGTGGTTTAAGAAGTCCAGCATTGAGGCACAACTGAATTCTCTACGTCTCACGAGGAGCATTTGCAGTAGTTGCTACAGCCTATCCAGATGATGTGCGCAAAGGGAACTTGGTCCGGATATGCACTTACCATCCCTGGGTGCAAATTGGGAATGTAACATCCATTATTCCACCGTCCCACTGCTTGATAAACACACATGGGAAAGATGGGTGTGGAGGGGGAGGGGAGTTCTTCATCGCATTTTAAGATGCTAATCTTGTGTCGGTCAGTTGAACTGATGCTGTCTCTTTTAAAATGCTGAAAGAGCAGAGCCGTGTAATGTCACAGATGTTAGAACGTAGAAATGGTATGAGAAGGATATGGTTAGAGATATGTTTGTCTTAGCTCCCATATAACCTCAGAATTTGCTAGAT